GACCACACTATAGCTGATACACCACAGGCCACACTATAGCTGATAGACCACACGGCCACACTGTAGCTGATAAACCACACGACCACACTGTAGCTGATAAACCACACGGCCACACTGTAGCTGATAAACCGCACGACCACACTGTAATTATAAATGAGTCAATGATATATGTTATCTAAAAGTGTAAAGGATAACACGGGTGGAGTCTGAGTCTTCACGGTGGAGTCTGGGTCTTCACGGGGTGGAGTCTGGGTCTTCACGGGGTGGAGTCTGGTCTCACGGGGTGGAGTCTGGCCTCACGGGGTGGAGTCTGGGTCTCACGGGTGGAGTCTGGGTCTTCACGGGGTGGAGTCTGGGTCTTCACGGGGTGGAGTCTGGCCTCACGGGGTGGAGTCTGGGTCTTCACGGGGTGGAGTCTGTCTTCACGGGTGGAGTCTGCCCGGGTGGAGTCTGGTCTCACGGGTGAGTCTGTCTCTCCAGGTCTTCACGGGGTGGAGTCTGGTCTTCACGGGGTGGAGTCTGGGTCTTCACGGGTGGAGTCTGGGTCTTCACGGGGTGGAGTCTGGGTCTTCACGGGGTGGAGTCTGGGTCTTCACGGGGTGGAGTCTGAGTCTTCACGGGGTGGAGTCTGGTCTTCACGGGAGGTGGTCTGGGTCTTCACGGGTGGAGTCTGGGTCTTCACGGGGTGGAGTCTGTCTTCACGGGTGGAGTCTGGGTCTTCACCGGGTGGAGTCTGGGTCTTCACGGGGTGGAGTCTGGCTCACGGGTGAGTCTGTCTTCACGGGGTGGAGTCTGGGTCTCTCACGGGGTGGAGTCTGGGTCTTCACGGGGTGGAGTCTGGGTCTTCACGGGGTGGAGTCTGGGCCTCACGGTGGAGTCTGGGTCTTCACGGGGTGGAGTCTGTCTTCGGGTGGAGTCTGGGTCTTCACGGGGTGGAGTCTGGGTCTTCACGGGGTGGAGTCTGGTCTTCACGGGGTGGAGTCTGGTCTTCACGGGTGGAGTCTGGGTCTTCACGGTGGAGTCTGGGTCTTCACGGGTGGAGTCTGGTCTTCACGGGTGGAGTCTGGGTCTCAGTGGAGTCTGGCTCACGAGTCGCTCGGTGGTCGCTCACGGGTGAGTCTGCTCAGGCTCTCAGGTGATCTGGCTCACCTGGTGGAGTCTGGTCTCACGGGGTGGAGTCTGGGTCTTCACGGGGTGGAGTCTGGGTCTTCACGGGTGGAGTCTGTCTTCACAGGGGTGAGTCTGGGTCTTCACGGTGGAGTCTGGCTTCACGGGTGGAGTCTGGGTCTCACGGGGTGGAGTCTGGGTCTTCACGGGTGGAGTCTGGCTTCACGGGTGGAGTCTGGGTCTTCACGGGGGAGTCTGGGTCTCACGGGGTGGAGTCTGGGTCTTCACGGGTTGGAGTCTGGGTCTTCACGGGGTGGAGTCTGGGTCTCACGGGTGGAGTCTGGGTCTCACGGGGTGGAGTCTGGGTCTTCACGGGGTGGAGTCTGGGTCTTCACGGGGTGGAGTCTGGCTCACGGGGTGGAGTCTGGCCTCACGGGTGAGTCTGGTCTTCACGGGGTGGAGTCTGAGTCTTCACGGGTGGAGTCTGGGTCTTCACGGGTGAGTCTTTCTTCACGGTGGAGTCTGGTCTTCACGGGTGGAGTCTGGCTCACGGTGTCTGGTCACGGTGGAGTCTGCTTCAGGTGAGTCTGGTTCAGGTGACTGGTGAGCGTCTTCAGGGTGAGTCTGGCTTCAGGGTGAGTCTGCTCACGGTGGAGTCTGGCTCACGGGTGGAGTCTGGGTCTCACGGGGTGGAGTCTGGTCTTCACGGGGTGGAGTCTGGGTCTTCACGGTGGAGTCTGGTTCACGTGGAGTCTTCACGGGTGGAGTCTGGGCTCACGAGCTGGTCCACGGTGGAGTCTGGGCTTCACGGGTGGAGTCTGAGTCTTCACGGGTGGAGTCTGGGTCTTCACAGGTGGAGTCTGGCTCTCACGGGTGAGTCTGGGTCTTCACGGGTGGAGTCTGGCTTCACGGGGTGGAGTCTGTCTTCACGGGTGGAGTCTGGCTCACGGGGTGGAGTCTGGCCTCACGGGGTGGAGTCTGGGGTCTTCACGGGGTGGAGTCTGGGTCTCACGGGGTGGAGTCTGGTCTCACGGGGTGGAGTCTGGGTTCACGGGTGGAGTCTGGTCTTCACGGGTGGAGTCTGGGTCTTCACGGGTGGAGTCTGGGTCTTCACGGGGTGGAGTCTGGTCTTCACGGGGTGGAGTCTGGCTTCACGGGGTGGAGTCTGGGCTTCACGGGGTGGAGTCTGGTCTTCACGGGGTGAGTCTGGCTTCACGGTGGAGTCTGGGTCTTCACGGGGTGGAGTCTGGTCCTCACGGGTGGAGTCTGTCTTCACGGGGTGGAGTCTGTCATAGCGAGTCTCACTGGGTGGAGTCTGAGTCTTCACGGGTGGAGTCTGGGTTTTCACGGGGTGGAGTCTGTGTCCAATAATCCATCCGTGGAGGCAGCCATAAGATGTGGTAGTGAGCCAGAACCAGCCATTGAAACGAAAGGTCGTACTTATTTGTGAGCGATTCAGGATTTGACGAACCATTAAGATCGATCAATTTATTTCTTATAGTAGTAAAGCACAATTCATTCACTCATATACCTCTGTAGTTTAATGCCTTCGGTTCTCTAATGGCCGACAATCCTCACAGTGGGTCATTGGTTCTCGTGGTACCTCATTCCAGTTGCCTCTCTCTTGTACCCGCAAGTGAGAAAGGCGTCAGTGGCGTCCACACTGTGTAGTTTCTATTTAATTTTCCTTCTTTCAATATGCATTTTATAACCACTGTCTCTCGTGGGTGAAACAGTCGTCACTTGTTCGTGTTCATAGTCAAGAATTTGTGAAAATATTGGCGTTTGCCTCAGCAGGAAAATATTCGGGAGAAAGCAAACGAATGAAAGCAGAAAATAGAAAGACCCAAATGAGAAAAAGATAGAATAAAAAACTGCAGTGAACGAAGCGATAATTTGGAAGTGGATAAAATGTAAGAGATCTCCCAAGAAGTGTGTAGTGGGGGTGGGCTGTGTAAAGAACCATTAGGCCACCCCAGTACTTACCCCACGGCTGTGCTTCCAAAATTAAGTACTGGGCTACACGAACGAGACCCAAGGCCGACCCGGTTGACGGTGCCGTTCTCAGCCTACTTTTAATGGACGTGGTGTTGCTTTCTCTGGTGAGGGATATTATGACGTTTATCTTAAGCTTTATTAACTGATATATCCACAGTATTTACTAAGAGGTCTGGGAACCGTAAGTTATTAACGAGGCTAAGACGAAAGAAGTAATGCTCTCCGGTTCGTGGTTCGTTCTATGGTTACAAGATGTTCCTCGACAAACGTTTACCGAATTACTGCGACATAAACCTGAACAGTGGTTATGTGATTATATTAGACAATCATTATGTAAGAGTTGTCTAATTTTGTACAATTTGCGGATATATTTTCAAAATCATCATGAGACCAAAACTCGTTGAAGTTTACCAGTGTTCGACGCCTGTTAAACAATTTTACATATACTCTACAATTATATACTTTCTTTTTATTGTAAACTCAATTAAATTACTTCATTAGATATATCTTATTTCATTCTGCTTGGAGACGTGTCCACCCAGAGGTGTGTGCTCACACACATCACTGTTATGCCTCACTATAACCTACCTGGCCACAGAAATAGTGATGTCTTTTGATTCACTTGTTCATAAACGAATAAACATACTTGCTGAGAACACATTAAAAAGAAAAGTTTCATCACGCAAGATCCAACACTGCTGCCAGGAAGTGTCATTCGGTACAACACTGCTGCCAGGAAGTGTTGTTCGGTACAACACTGCTGCCAGGAAGTGTCATTCGGTACAACACTGCTGCCAGGAAGTGTTGTTCGGTCCAACACTGCTGCCAGGAAGTGTTGTTCGGTACAACACTGTTGCCAGGAAGTGTTGTTCGGTACAACGCTGCTGCTAGGAAGTGTTGTTCGGTACAACACTGCTCCAGAAGTGTTGTTCGGTACAACACTGCTGCTAGGAAGTGTTGTTCGGTACAACACTGCTGCTAGGAAGTGTTCGGTACAACACTGCTGCTAGGAAGTGTTGTTCGGCACAACACTGCTGCTAGGAAGTGTTGTTCGGCACAACGCTGCTGCTAGGAGTGTTGTTCGGTACAACACTGCTGCTAGGAGTGTTGTTCGGTACAACAGCGCTAGAAGTGTTGTTCGGTACAACACTGCTGCTAGGAAGTGTTGTTCGGTACAACACTGCAGCTAGAAGTGTTGTTCGGTACAACACTGCTGCTAGGAAGTGTTCGGTACAACACTGCTGCTAGGAAGTGTTGTTCGGTACAACACTGCTGCTAGGGTGTTGTTCGGTACAACACTGCAGCTAGAAGTGTTGTTCGGTACAACACTGCTGCTAGAAGTGTTCGGTACAACACTGCTGCTAGGCGGTGTTGTTCGGTACAACACTGCTGCTAGGAAGTGATGTTCGGTACAACACTGCCCCAGGAAGTGTTGTTCGGTACAACACTGCTGCTAGGAAGTGTTGTTCGGTACAACACTGCTGCTAGGAAGTGTTCGGTACAACACTGCTGCTAGGAAGTATTGTTCGGTACAACACTGCTGCTAGGAAGTGTTGTTCGGTACAACGCTGCTGCTAGGGAGTGTTGTTCGGTACAGCACTGCTGCTAGGCGGTGTTGTTCGGTACAACACTGCTGCTAGGAAGTGTTGTTCGGTACAACACTGCTGCTAGGAAGTGTTGTTCGATACAACACTGCAGTAGGAAGTGTTGTTCGGTACAACACTGGCTAGGAAGTGTTCGGTACAACACCGCTGCTAGGAGGTGTTGTTCGATGCAACACTGCTGCTAGGCAGTGGTGTTCGGTACAACACTGCTGGCTGGTACGAAGTGTTGTTCGGTACAACACTGCTGCCGGAAGTGTTGTTCGGTACAACACTGCTGGCTGGTACGAAGTGTTGTTCGGCACAACACTGCTGCTAGGAAGTATTGTTCGGTACAACACGTTGCTAGGAAGTGTTGTTCGGTACAACGCTGCGCTAGGAAGTGTTGTTCGGTACAACACTGCTGCTAGAAGTGTTATTGGCACAACACTGCAGCTAGAGGTTGTTCGGTACAACACTGCTGCCAGGAAGTGTTATTCGGTACAACACTGCAGCTAGGGAGTGTTGTTCGGTACAACACTGCTGCCAGGAAGTGTTGTTCGGTACAACACTGTTGCCAGGAAGTGTTATTCGGTACAACACTGCGGCTAGGGAGTGTTGTTCGGTACAACACTGCTGCTAGGAAGTGTTGTTCGGTACAACGCTGCTGCTAGGAAGTGTTGTTCGGTGCAACACTGCTGCTAGGAAGTGTTGTTCGTACAACACTGCTGCTAGGAAGTTATTCGGCAACACTGCGGCTAGAGTGTTGTTCGGTACAACACTGCGCTGCCAGGAAGGTTGTCTGTGCAACACTGCTGCTAGAAGTGTTGTTCGGTGCAACACTGCTGCTATAGTATTGTTCGGTGCAACACTGCTGCTAGGCGTGTGTTTGGAACAACACTGCTGCTAGAAGTGTTGTTCGCCAGTTAGGAAGTGTTGTTCGATACAACACTGCTGCTAGAAGTGTTGTTCGGTACAACACTGCTGTTGAAGTGTTGTTCGGTACAACACTGCTGCTGGGAAGTGTTGTTCGGTACAACATTGCTGCTAGGAAGTGTTGTCGGTACAACACTGCTGCTAGGAAGTGTTTTCGGTATAACACTGCGCTAGGAAGTGTTGTTCGGTACAACACTGCTGCTAGGAAGTGTTTTTCGGTACAACACTGCTGCCAGGAAGGTTTGTTCGGTACAACACTGCTGCTAGAAGTGTTGTTCGGCACCACTCTGCTAGGCGGTGTTGTTCGGTACAACACTGCGCTAGGAAGTGTTGTTCGGTACAACACTGCTGGCTGGTACGTTGTTCGGTACAACACTGCTGCCGGAAGTGTTGTCCGGACAACACTGCTGGCTGGCAACGAAGTGTTGTTCGGTACAACACTGCTGCCGGAGTGTTGTTCGGTACAACACTGCTGGCTGGTACGAAGTGTCGGTACAACACTGCTGCCGGAAGTGTTGTTCGGTACAACACTGCTGCCGGAAGTGCTGTTCGGTACAACACTGCTGGCTGGTACGAAGTGTTGTTCGGTACAACACTGCTGCTAGAAGTATTGTTCGGTACAACACTGCTGCTAGAAGTGTTGTTCGGCACAACGCTGCTGCTAGGGGAGTGTTGTTCGGTACAGCACTGCTGCTAGGCGGTGTTGTTCGGTACAACACTGCTGCTAGAAGTGTTGTTCGGTACAACACTGCTGCTAGGAAGTGTTGTTCGGTACAACACTGCAGCTAGGAAGTGTTGTTCGGTACAACACTGCTGCTAGGAAGTGTTCGGTACAACACTGCTGCTAGGAGGTGTTGTTCGATGCAACACTGCTGCTAGGCGGTGGTGTTCGGTACAACACTGCTGCTAAGGAGTGTTGTTCGGTACAACACTGCTGCTAGGAAGTGTTGTTCGGTACAGCACTGCTGCTAGGAAGTGTTGTTCGGTTCAACACTGCTGCTAGGAAGTGTTGTTCGGTACAACACTGCTGCTAGGAAGTGTTGTTCGGTACAGCACTGCTGCTAGGAAGTGTTGTTCGGTGCAACACTGCTGCTAGGGAGTGTTGTTCGGTACAACACTGATGCTAGGAAGTGTTGTTCGGTACAGCACTGCTGCTAGGAAGTGCTGTTCGGTGCAACACTGCTGCTAGGAAGTGTTGTTCGGTACAACACTGCTGCTAGGAAGTGTTATTCGGTACAACACTGCGGCTAGGGAGTGTTGTTCGGTACAACACTGCTGCCAGGAAGTGTTGTTCGGTAACACTGCTGCTAGGAAGTGTTGTTCGGTGCAACACTGCTGCTAAGTAGTGTTGTTCGGTGCAACA